CGACAGAACTTTTCATTTTCTTTGGAGAATTAGTGCAAAACATGTCGTTGTTTCTTAGCATAGCTAGTAGAGAATTAAATTTTTATTTATAAAAGAATGTTGCTCTGGCAAGCTAGTGTTATCACCAGCCCGCACGTTTTCGTCATCGCAACATGTATTTGATCAGAGTTGATCATTTACCTCTTGGTAAGTTGTAATAAGCAATTTGTCTCGAAGGTTAGGAGTGCACGGTATCTTTGTTGTCTTTACACATACCGTGTGAGAAAGTTAGAACGCAAAAGTGAAATGTGTAAGAACAGAAGAAATATCGTGCTCTCCATACTGACGAGAAAAATTGCTTATTACAACTTACCAAGAGGTAAATGATCAACTCTGATCGTTTTTTTTAACGTGAAATAGTTAAATTAAAACAAAAACAAATAAAGAGGATAAAAAAAAAAAAAACAATAACTTTTTTTTTCCGACTTCAACCTTTTCTGATTACATCAGTTAAACCATATTCTTGAATCTATTCTTACCTTATCTTATCTCTTTTCTCTCTACCTATTATCTTCTCGTAGTCTGCATTCCTTTTCTTATTCTTTCTCCTTCCTCTTCATTCTTCCCCTGTTAACCTTCTCTTCCCTCATTTTTCGCCTCGCTTCTTCTCTTATTCTTCGTTATTCTTTTCGGCTCATTTCTTTCCTTTTTTTTTCGTTCTTCCTTTCGTCTTCTATTGTTATCTTTTTTTCCGTCTTTTTAACCTGTCTTTCTTTTTTTCCTATATCTTTGTATCCTCTTCTCTCTCCTGCCAACATCATATATTACATCTTCCATCTATCAAAATGACAAGTCATCAATTGCTACAAGATTCCGTTGGATTAACCCTAGTTAGTGGAAATGACCGTATAGATCGCACAGCTATCATCAACACAATTAGTAAAATTGTACCGGTTAATGAGATTGAATCCTTCGGTAACTTAGGTGATGCCAAGAAATGGTTCATCTTATTCAAAACAAAATCATCAAAAGAAAAAATGCTACAACTCGAACATTTAAAAGTTAACGATCAAATATTTTCTGTTCACAAACCTCACAGACAAGTAAAATTGATTCGACTACTTAATATTCCATCATCTATCTCAAATGACGTTATTCGTGATGTTGTATCAAAATGGAAGGGTATGATTGTCAGTGTAGAATGTGAGTGTCTTCCACGACCTTTTTCATCAATTAAAACATTTGTTCGACGAATACGTATGAAATTTGAGTCACCAAATGATGAACAGAATATTCCGATATCCTTTAAATTGTTTGGTATAACCATTCCCGTATTATTGGAGGGCAGAATTAAGGTGTGTTATCGTTGTAAATCATCAGGCCATATTAAATCTGAATGCACGGCTTTAAAATGTCGTGTATGCATGGAAATTGGGCATGATGATTCAGATTGTACGAGGAAGCGATCTTATGCTAATATTGCAGGAACTTTCTCAAGACAAGCTTCAACACCAACAACTGATAATCGAATAATAAAAAAAACTCCATCATCAGGTATTGTACATCATTCAACACCAATATCAAGTGATGAACTACCACCAACACCTACCGTTGTTGGTATACGTGATGCTGATGAATTTGAAAGTCCACAACTATCAGCAACACAAGAATGTATTGCAGCTGTGGCTGCTTTACCTCCAGGTGATCAAGAAGAACAATTAGATGTTGAACAACAACCTGCTGTTCATCAAGAACTAGATGTACAACAACAACCAAATATACAACAACAGCCAGATACACAACAGCAAACAGATATACAACAACAAACAGATATAAAACAACAAGCAGATACGCAACAACAGCCAGATACACAACAGCAAACAGATATTCAACAACAAACAGATATACAACAACAAACAGATACACAACAGCAAACAAATATACAACAACAACCAGGCGTTCAACAACAGTCAGAACGTCAGCAAGAACTGGATGATGAACGGCAAATTATGTTAGGCCAAGACAATATTCATCCGAATGATAAAGCATCTAATATAATTAATCAAGCCCCGAGCATTAATTTTATAGAAGCATATCAAATGTATAAGGATGGTCAAAATGTGTTAAAACGACCCCGCCATGATGAGAATAATATAACAATAAATGAGTCAAAAAAGCAACATCTTCATATCTCTCTTCCAATGGAGGAGAATGTGGAAGAAGAAGGTGAAATATAATTAAATATTATTGGTTTACAATAATAATGTATATTATAATACAAAAGAAAAAATAAAAATTATTATTATCGTTATAGTTATTCTTATTTACCTTACAATGCTTTTTATTATAACTTACAACATTAGAGGAATTACAACATGTGCCAAACAAAAGTTATTACGAACTTGGTTAAAACAAACCCCACATGATGT